TACAGGATGTTAAGGAGTACTGCTACAAGTATTTGCACGTAGAGTTTTTTTTTTAACAGCATTCTATGGAGTACTACTACCAGTAAAGAAACCACTGCTATAACATGTACAGGTGCTTTGTATATGTAGTGTTTTGTTACAGGATTCTACAGAGTGCTACTACCTGTAAACATACCATTGCTATAACACGAGAAACATTTAACATTACACAACATGTTGTGCCATCAATAGGAAATAAATGTTCTTCTAAACAACTGTTACGACAGCGGAAGTCACGTGACTCTGGGAGCATGCGCGCTGGAGTTTCTCGATGGATCATGGATTTGCCCTGCAACTCTAGTCTGGTCGAGATGCCTTCTTTTTTAATATATAAGCCTGGCGGAGAGGCCAGAGATATATAGATAATTAAGTCAACCGAACAGTAGTAACGTTAAGCCGTAAATTGTGTGTGTTTTGCAGTCGCCGCATAGAGCGAAGTTATCGAGCTTGTGAATCGCTGTGATTTATAGCGTGTATTATAAAAGTTGTAAGTAAAGTGATGAGAAATGTATTGATTGTGAAATTACTGTGTATTACAAAGTTCTATCGAGAAAGAATAAACTAGTTTTAATCAAGAAGGGACATGTATCGCTGAAGCTCCTCAGAAAGAATTTATACCGGAAATTAACAAACAAGCAGATAGGTAACACAACACAGAAGAGCAAGCTTTAAAGATTGATAATACACCAGAAATTAATATTAAACTTTAAATATCATATTCCAATACCAGGAAAGTAGTAAGTGTAGCAGAAATTATGAATGAAACGTAAGAAACATTGTATGGTAAAATTAGTTCATATATTAACTTAAATAGTTTCTGTTCCAATTGAAATAGCTAATTATTCGTAAGAAGAAACTGAATATTAATGTTGCCTCTAGGTTACTATAATAAGTTATTTGTTGAGTGATTTTTGTTTCTTGTTGCAGGAGTTTCGAAAATACTCTTTTCAGAGACGTAGAGAAAATTATAAACCTTCAAATCTTATAACCACTAGCAAAAGTCCTCTTGAAAGCATCACAACAACTAACGATTCGTACAGGCCTCACCAGGTATTATATCATCACCTGCTTTCTACTTAAATGTCTATTAGACTTATTGTTTGTTGTTAAGCGCAAAGATGCACAATGAGTTGTCTGCGTTGTTTAGTTCGTGGGCCAATGACTGAAGTTTAAGAAATTGGTACCAAATTTGGAACCACACCTTTTATTGAATATCCTTTGGGCCAGATTACTGCCAGAAAAATCTGATTTTTTATAATAAAATATACATTTATGGTGTCTTGGAGAATTGTTATTACTTCACTAACAAAAACTTGTTTATTCATAAGCATCATTTTCAGCTGAAATTTGAGGAGACTGGACAAAAATATGACGTCATACCTATATACAAAAATGTGGGGTCCTGGTGTCCATTTGATCCCGAATACAACACCAATTCTTTCACTATTACCACTAACCTAATTTTCAAGATAAAATCAAATAACTGTCCAGACAACTCAGAAATAGTATGGTTTTTGCCGTGGCTTTTCTGGACTAAACTCATATCATCAATTATGCAAGCTGGTGGTGAAACAACAAACTCAGTGGGAGATATATTCTTTTCAACCCCTCTGGCCAAGGCAGTTTTTTCGTATGTTTTTATTTATTGTTCCTTCGTTGTTAGCCTGTGGAAGTGGACCGAGAGGACGGTTGAACACTTATTGCATGTTAAGATTTCTTCCTTTAGCTATTAATATAATTTGACCAACTATTCTATGGTCAGCTTTCAAAATGGCTTCTTTGTTGCACGTCCTCAATTTGCCCAGCTACTTCATACTGCTAAACGTCGGTAGTTTCACTTTCGGGATACGGTCGAAAAACTATTTAGTCTTACCCTCGTACAATCTTTCTTTCTTAAAGTCTGCATCGGCTTACTCACCTTTCTCTTGGGCAGTCAAAAGACCGTCTACAATATCTGCTGTGGCAGCATTGCCTGTCAAAAGGTTTACAAGGTCTAACAGATTGCTGTCGAATGGACTTGTCCACTGACTCTATAGTTTCTACAATTGACTCATTATTTTCCTCAGCGTCTAGCTTCGCGTTTTCGTAACCCGTTAGCATGACAAGTGGTTTCCTTAAATTTCTGACTATAAAAGGGTTGGAGAATAATAAAATATAAAGTTTATCTTAGTATTCTTGAAGATAGCACTGTAATTTGAAAATATGATAATAAGATTCCCATTATTTTCAATAGTTGGCAACCGTTATATCCTAACTTTCTTATATTTTTATTTTTTACAATAATTATCAATATCAGTAACAAGCTATCATTTTTGTAATACCATTTTATTAATTTTTTAAGAAAAAAAAACAGAATTAAGCCTACATCCGAAAAAACAATTTGTGGGTGAGTGTAACGCGGTATTCATAAAAGTGAAAATAACATTGATTATTTCGAACTCAAGCTACTTAGAATGGTTATCATAAATTTTCTTTTATAGTTTGTACGCCACTAGGCACTGGTAATAATATGTTTTAGTTTGGTACCAAAAAAATCATTGACCCACGGACTATGTACCAACCACACTGATCGAGCTCCGAATTTTAGCGTTATAAGCCATGAAGGCTACCGGGGGCACTCTTAGGTTATATATATATATATATTTAATAATTGTTTTCGTTTTTTCACTCTCTATTATGGAATTCAAACAGTTTTACGATATAACAACCCGATCAATACAAGCTTTTTATACCATCATTGTAACATTTAGTAGCCTTTATGATCACCTATGTCTGAGAAAAATGTTTGTGCTGGAAGGAGCCAGAATTCACTATTAGAGACCCAATCAACTGTTTGGATACTTTTGAAGTAGGATCTCTAGGTTTAGTTGATTGCTATGGTAGGTTGTGTTATCAATTAGAGATCCGTTTTGAAAGTTCAGAAAACAGCTAAAATGGGTTAAAAAAACTGTTAACATGGCATCATCAGGTACTTATCACAACTAAACACGACAATTAAATACACTCATTGGTGACGTCACAAACATAACCTTGAGCTTAATATAAGTATAAACCAACTCCATGTGTGTTTTATTTATTATATGTTTGGATTCATTTATTAAAATAGTTCCTTTTATTTTGTGTTTATTAACCTTAGGTTTACCACTCAGGAAAAACTCCTTTTCAGTTTATGGAATGAGTCTTCCCTAGTGAGACAAGGGTATAATTTACTTAGAGGGCTGCAATGGGACATATATGTCAGTTATGTAGATGAAATACTAGTATTTATTCACACATTTCAGTTACTGCATTCCAACATAACAAGGATGAAGGTTTGAAACTTAAAAAGTAAAGTGAACATTAATGCATGCTTTAGTGGATTTTTTAATCTTACAGTAGGCATAGTCAGTGTTCATAAATCCTGCAAAGATCACAGTGGTCAAGGACTGGCCCTAGCTTAAGGCCAAATGAAAAGTCTGAAGCTTTCTAGGTTTGCTTCATATTATGAATGGTTTGTGTACACTTTTCTCTCCCAGATGACACACCAAATTTGCAGT